CTCCCTCCATTCCTCTCTCCCTCCCTCCCTAACCATCTCTTTGCCATCACTGTTGCTGCATTTTCCACCACATCTCACCTCAAGACAGATGGCTTTGACTTCTTGGAACTGCTCCTCATCCAGGGAAACCTCAGCAAGCAATCTCCATGTCTTAGCTTCAGTGATATTCTCGTAATCCTCCCGTCGTTTGAGAACAATATGTCCACTGATTTCCCAAATGGCAGGGTTCACTTGCATCTCCATCAGATCTTCGGGGACCAGATTGTTCGCCTGCCGCTCTGCAAAGCACTGTGACATTTGGAGATTCGCACAATCATTACATAAAAGGCTTGTCAGCAGCAGGGAACCAGTCGAGCACTCCGGTGCGTATGGTTGGTTATTAGTTGCCAGATAAAGCGAGGAGAGTTTTACGACACAGGATGCCAAGCAGGATCTCACAAGCCCTTTCGAGAACCGACTACTGCGCGACAAAACATAAAATGGCAAAAGTAGTTAAGCACAGAACAAGCCCAATGAATAAACAAACCTCTGTGGATGGGTGGGTGGGTGGGTGGGTAAGTGGGTGGATGGGTGGATGGGTGGATGGGTGACTGCATGACACAGGATGCCAATCAGGCTCTCACCAGCCCTTTAAGAACCAACAACTGTGCGGCGAATGTTGAGTGGATGGACGAACGAGTGAGTGGCTGTGGATGGGTGGGGGTGGGTGGATGGGTGAGTGGCTGTGTGGACGGGTGGGTGGGTGGATGGATGCGAGAATGGTTGAATGGTCGGATGGATGGACGGATGGACGGGTGGATGGGTGGATGGGTGACTGCATGACACAAGATGCCAATCAGGCTCTCACCAGCCCTTTCAAGAACCAACAACTGTGCAGCGAATGAGTGGATGGGTGAATGAGTGAGTGGCTGTGGATGGGTGGGTGGGTGGATGGGTGAGTGGCTGTGTGGACGGGTGGGTGGGTGGATGGATGTGAGAATGGTTGAATGGTCGGATGGATGGACGGATGGACGGATGCCTCAAGCTCCGCCCTCGGTTTGTGTCGGTGCGCGAGTGGACAGACAGGTGCAGGATGAAAGGGATGGGTGGCTCTACGGGTGGGGGTATGGGTGGATGGACGGATCATGGATGCATACATCGATGGGTAAGTGGGTGGATGGTTTGGCAGAGGGATAAGCGTTACTTTGCTCATGCCGATGTGAAGGGAAAACACCACCCAGCCCATGTGGCTGCTGTTGATTAACATACCATAAGTTCAAATCCGGCGGGCATCAGATGGATGAAATAATACGCTAGCAGCTACCTGCTTTTTCTAAGAAAAAAATAAATACAAGAAAAGGATAAAGTAACACTGGAAAGAACTTGACACCCGATGTGCAGGGAAAACGGGGAGTCGACAACACACAAGGAGATGCAAACAGTGGTCGCTACATGGCGACATACTGGTGCTACGCCCACGGAAAGCAAGCATGAATCTGATCATAAAGGTTTCCCACATTCATGCAATTTAGAGCAAACATCAGTGAGATCAGACCCTTTACTCAGATGTAAGAGGGTGTACTGTACCTGAGGGTAGAGGAAGACTCTTGCACCCTTGTCTGCAATGAAAATGTTGAAAGGAATGTTCCGGTCCTGCAGCCGTTGCGCTGTTCGTGCCACAACTCTAGCCAGCTCTTCCAGGCTGTCCCCAAGCTCCAGCACTAAGCCCCGAACTGGGTAATCCTTGAGCTCATGGACTGCCAAGGAGTGGTCATGGCCGCCTGTCGCAATTTCCATGGTGGGTGCCCTCTCTACCGCAAATGGTTTCATCAAGTAGTAGGCCTGCAATCAACACACACACACACACACACACACACACACACACACACACACACACACACACACACACACACACACACAGAGGGAGGATTAGCATCAATTTATAGGATAACCTCCCTGCAACGTGTGTCATCAAGAGGTTCCTCAATCAGACAACTGCAATCCTGTCGTCCAGAGACTCACAAGGAGCCGTCTGAGGAGAGATGTTGAAAAGGAAACATGGAAGAGATGCATGAACAAGTAAGAGAGAGGAAAAGGAAAACAGAGGATGGAATAAAAAGAGGGGAAGGGTAGAAGAGAAAAGCAGGTGAGTATGATGCAAATGTCCAAATGGGGTTGGGGTGGGTAAGAGTGACAAAACCGTCACACGGATCGGAGGAATGTAAAACCTCAAGCTTAATCGACTTGCAGGGCGACAACACGAAGAAGAAAGAAGAAGGAAGCAGAAAAAGGAACACCAAGAAGGAACAAGAAGGAAGAAGAATGTAGAAGGAAGGAGGAGGAAGACAGGAAAATGGAAGAAGACAAGCGAAGGAAGGAGGAACAAGCGGGAAGTAGGAAGAGGGAGGAAGGAGGAGGAAGAAGGAAGAAGAAGGAAGAAGGGAAAAGAAGAAGGAAGGAGGAAGAAGAAGAAGAAGCCAGCACAGAAAGAGAAGATGGCATCTTCCATGACAGACTCATAGACCAGAACGAGGACACACACAAACACGCCGAAATAGAAACCCAGTACGGGTTTCTCTGCACAGAGGCGCAGGCCAATGAGATCAACAACTCACAAGAATAAAACTAGGAGAGCGGATGGAGAGCGTCATCCGCCGAAACATTTTCAACGCCTACCACCGCTTGTTTGGTAAAGGATGACAATTTGACGCCTGCCTGACTTAGTTCTAGAATATTTGGGGAACACTCAACTGGAAGCGGAGGTGAGAAGAAGGCTAGCTCACCTGGAAGTGGAGGTGGTTGACAGTTGCAAAAGCCCCCAAACTGTTATACCCCACACGAAAGAAGGGGCTGTCTGCTTCAATGGCAATGATCAGAGCTTCGAGAAAGGTGTCAGGCGACAGCCGTTGAGGAATGCAGTCTGCTACACGAGGCACCAACAGGACATGCCCATACTCAATGGGGCTCACCTGCCACATCAAGAAACCCACAATTGCTTCTTCCATTATTCCAACTGGACTGGATCTTATTTTCCGTTTTCTTTGATTTTGCAATCAGACTCGACTTCTTCACACTTGTCATGCCTGCAAACAGCGAAACAGCAAACTGGCGACATGCGCCCACACAGTACTCAAGATATCGTAACCAGGTAGGATTTCTCTTCAACTGGCTATGGCGACTAAGCGCCCACACAATTCACTGTTCGCACTCTGGATCACCCTGGATGTCCCACACGCAACACTCTACACGCAACACACACACACACACACACTACTATAGCTATGGCAGCTATGGCTGCCACTATCCTATCGCTACACTACACTTCACTGCCCTCTTCGTCT